AAAGGTAAATTATATTGTAGGTACATTATGTTTCTAAAAAAAAAAAATGGAAAATTGAAATTCACAAACAAAAAGTAGTAGATATATTATCTTTTCAATCAAATTACATTCCTTTATTTTGTAGGTAAATTTTTTTTAAAGCATTATTACATATACTGTCACATCCCGGCCCGGGTGGGACCACTTCCCGGGCCCGCTCCACCACCGTAGCACGATATTGTCCGCTTTGGGCCCTGACCACGCCCTCACGGTTTTGTTTCTGGGAACTCACACGACAACTTCCCGATGGGTCACCCATCCTGGGAGTGCTCTCGTGCGCTACTCGCTTAACTTCGGAGTTCCCATGGAACCCGAAGCCAGTGAGCTCCCAAAAGGCCTCGTGCTAGGTAGGGATGAGAATATACATTTAAGGATCACTTCCCTGGACGATGTGGGATGTCACATATACCGGGCACATTTTACTACTAATATATATATATATATATATATGCAAATGTATATTACTTTTAGTAGGAATTATGTATTGTAGGTACATTATGTTTGTACAAAGAAAAAACAATTGGTAAATTAAAATTCATAACCAAAAAGTAGTAGATATATTAATTTTTAATCAACTTACAGACCTTTATTTTGTAGCTAAATAATTTTACATGCATTATTACATATATTGGGCACATTTTATATATGTGCAATTATATTTTATTATACCAAATGTAGCTAAATTAATATTCAATCAAATAACATTTTTTTATTTTGTAGGTAAATTATTTTGCTTGTATTATTACATATACTGCGAATATTTTATTACTAACACATATGTCCAAATAATTTACCTATGTTTTTATGTAAATTACTCCATAGTTCCCCTTCATTTTCCATGTTTGGTAAGAAAATGGCAAGATTAAATTAAAATTGTCTAATTTTATGCAAATTTGGAAAACAATTACGAAATCTAAAGGAAAGTATAACATTAATATTTATTTATTTATTTTTGCCAGAAGCATTAACATACAATTTGTTATGATATATTAATATGCAATGAATTTAAACATTAATACATTTTTTTTCATTAATCCCTCCCTTCAAATCTTCATAGAATTAACTGTATAAATTAAAATTGTAATTAGGGGTATTTTAGGCATCTGAACATTGCAAAATGTGTAAAGTCAAACAGAATAAATAAATTTGCTTATGTGGAGCCTAGTCATTGGGTTTTATTCAAGTAAAAAAACTATGTCAGGTTTTATGTAAAGAAACTTGAGTTTCAAAGACTAAAATCATATTTTCAGTAATCTAAAAATCATCTTTACTAAGAATTAAAATGAAGTTTCCTATTGAGCTAGCCACATACTTACACAAATGCTTAAAAACACCTATGAAAACTTAAACATGCAGTGTATATTTTCACCCACCAAAGCAATGAACTTCCTCTCCCCAAAACTTCTTCCTTCATCATCTAAATCTTCTCTCAAACTTGTACCGATCGCCATAGTCTTGTTCTTGTACCGCAATGCTGCTGCTGTAGAGCTACCAAACAACGAAAAGATTCCGGCAGTGATTGTTTTTGGAGATTCAATAGTGGATCCGGGAAACAACAACAATATTGGCACGATAGTCAAATGCAATTTCCCCTCGGACTTCGTAGGAAAAAGGCCTACTGGAAGGTTTAGCAATGGCAGAGTCCCCTCGGACTTGATAGGTAATCTACCTATTGTCGCTGTTGTTTCTTACTTTTTACTAGCTCTACTGGCTCAACCAACAACAACAACCAACCAACCGTATCCCACTAAATGGAGTCGGCTGCATAAATCCTAAAACGTCATTGCGTACGGTTTTGCGCTAAGTCTTCACTTAGATCCAAGTACTGGCTCAACAAAACTGTGAAAATGATTAACCCTTTACAAATATTTCAGCTGAATCAGTTGGAGTGAAGAAGATTTTGCCAGCTTATTTGGACTCAAATCTGAAGATTCAAGACCTAGTTACTGGTGTAAGTTTTGCCTCAGGTGGCTCAGGATATGATCCCCTCACTCCCAAAATAGTGGTAAATAAATATAACCCCCTCTTTTCTATTTACTATTTCATCCTTTCTTTCTGTTAATTTTGTTTCTATCAGTCTGTCTTATCTCTATCAGATCAACTAGACTTGTTCAAAATATACATAAGCAAGATAAATGCAGCCGTTGGGAAGGAGAGAACGGCGACTATAGTATCGAAAAGCATATACATTGTGTGCACAGGGAGTAACGACATTGCGAATACTTATTTATCTACACCACTAAGAAGATCTCACTATGACATTCCAGCGTATACCGATCTCATGGTTAAATCGGCTTCAAGTTTCTTTCAGGTAAACATCGAACAATTGCAATTCGTGAATGTCAGCACTAGAAAAATAAATGGTTTGGTAGTCGTGCATTACCACTTATGTAGCCATCAAGTACTAAATTTGCAATGCCCTGCATCCTGAGATGCACATAAGCTTGGGATCCATCAGAATTTCAGACCTAGCTAAACGTAGTCCGGTTTGTTAGAGCAATGTGCTTCCCCCTTTTGCACCCAAGTTTGAATCCCCCTCACCGTAGTGTAGATTAGACTAGAATATTGCTCAAACAAAAATACAAAACTTTCATCAGAACTAGCCACCTCAGAAGAGTAACAATTGTCAATCTGCCGCATATTTCGGTATCCCAAGTTCCATAGATGAGCTCACCCATGCGTATCTTTTTCATTCTTGAATCTTGGGTGCCAAGTAATTGGGATTGTATGAAGAAGCTGCTCTGAGTAGTAGCAGAGATGGTTAAAGCGTGACACATTACGTCGTACCTTGCTATTTTTTAATGTGGGGAAAAAATGGAACTGCAGGAACTATGTGGACTCGGAGCAAGAAGAATTGGAGTTGTAAGTCTGCCAGCCATCGGGTGTGTACCGTCACTGAGAACACTGAGTGGAGGCATAGACAGAGGGTGCTCGGAGACTGCCAACCAAGCAGCAAGTCTCTTCAACTCCAAGCTCTCTGCCCAAATAGATGCCTTCAATGGGAGGCTGCCAGAAGCAAGGCTTGTCTACCTCGATATCTATAACACATTGCTTTCCCTCATCCAAAACCCTACTCAATATGGTAAATCACCATCTTGGTCAATTTCGGAAATAGTAATTTGCAAAAATACGTCAATTTCTCATATATGAGTTACCAGCAATGTTCTCTTACCACGCAAAGATTTAAGTTGTCATACTGTGAATCTAAGACCAAACATTTTGAATGTGAACCAAACAAGATCGATAGTCTAAAATTCACTTTTTTAGTCATCGTCGTAGTCTCGGAAAAAAAGAAAAAAAAAATTCCACAAAGCATATTGATCATACGGTTGGTACAATGATTTTCTATATGGTTTCAGGATTTGAAGTGATCAATCGAGGATGCTGTGGAACGGGAAACGTTGAGGTTAGCATTCTGTGTACACGTTACTCTCCGGGAACCTGCAATGATTCGTCGAAATACATATTCTGGGACAGCTACCATCCTTCAGAGAAAGGATATGAAGTCATCACCCCTCTGGCTTTCGATTCGCAAGTTCATAAGTTTTTCTGACGCCCCTCTCTCTCTCAAGTCTCAACAATCAATAAATTTCCAAGCCAGTTTTGATGTATTTCTCTTTCAGAAGTTTGAGCCTCAAATTGTTAGAAATTGATGTCTGTCTTTATTTTTTCGATAGAAATTGATGTCTGTCACTTTTTACCTTTTTATCACTCTTTTGTATTTTATTTTTTTTAAGAAACAACTGATGTCAAACCACGGTTATCTACTATTTTTGAGCTCAGAGATGCTATGGTGAATTTCACTCCTTTGAAAAATCAATGTGACATGAAATTAACTATTTATACTTCATCCTAAACAAAGTATAAACTTTGATGTTTTCATATCAGTTGTTTTCAATAGAAATTATGAAAATTTGCTCAAAAACGTGAAAATTTAGAATGTACCATTGGGAATGTCAAACATTGATTCAAACAAAATATGAAAGTTTCTCCAATGTTTAACTGATATATCAGAAATATAGAAGAAATCTGTCAATTTCAACCAAAATTTAAGTGTTTGGGGGTGTGCTATTCACACACCCCTTTTTACTTCTCATACACCCCTTATTAATTTATGTCATTTGATCTTCTTTAATTCAGTCGATCCGACGGCTACAAATTAAGAAGGTGTGTATGAAGTAAAAAAGGGTGTGTGGATAGCACATCCCTAAGTGTTTTTCCGACATGGGTGAAGTCTAAACCAAATGCCATAATACAATTTTTTTCAAGCTTCCAGCGAATTGTGTTATGACACTTGTTATACCGGACCATGTTTCAAGCTAAAGGTGGCATATCAACCCATTGGGTTGTTAATGCGTACCCATCAAGACTTATTTAGTTTGTTTTCATCTTACACCTTTATCATCACTACCAATCTCATCTCGATATTATATTGATATCAAATTAAACGGGTTTTAATGTACTCATTAATAACCAATGAATTAATTTGTCGTCTCTATTCCCAACACAATGAAAAATTTCTCGTGTCAGTGATGACTTTTTATAGTCATGACTTCTTTTTTAACTTGATAACCAAGTCCAAGTTGAGGATCGATCGTTACATTTTTAACACGATGCTCTTAGGTATAGCATACCGCTGTTTATAAGAAAGAAGTCGAGAAATAAATAGCAGCATGGGTATTAGCACGAATTAAAAGCTCTGTATATTCAATTAAATTTTTTTTGGTGATTTATGGTTGCGAGGATAATGACACGAATTAAAAGTTTAAAAAGATGCTCAAAACCAAATTAAAAGTTCAAATAGCAAAATAGAACATTGTCCAAAGTTTACAAGGCATTACTAAATTTTTCCCTTTAATTTTTTATTTATTTCTCATTAAAAAAATAAAAATGAAAATAGTTTTTACATGGGCCACACCATTGGTCAAAAAATCCAATCCAAAACAAGCTCTTAGCCCAACGCATTCATACAATTCAATCCAACGCCATAGCTTCTCCGCCATGGCTGCAGACCTCTCTGCTCAAACCTTCCTCCTATCCACAACCACCACCACACCCCAACGCTCCCAGCCCAGGACCACCACCTCCTTCTTGCCTTCCTCCTCTCTCTACTCTCACTCCAAACCCCTCCTCCACCTCTCCAAAACCTCCCGCCCCCGCCGTCACAGCCTCCACCAAGTGCTCTGCCAGTCCACCGGCACCCAACCCATTTTCCAGCTCGGCCATGACCGCCTCTCTAAGGTCCCCATTTCCCACATCAGGAACTTCTGCATCATCGCCCACATAGACCATGGCAAGTCGACTTTGGCCGATAAGCTGCTCGAAACCACCGGCACTGTGCAGAAGCGCGAGATGAAGGAGCAGTTTCTCGACAACATGGACTTGGAGAGAGAAAGGGGCATCACCATCAAGCTCCAGATTGCCCGAATGCGATATGCGTTCAAAAATGGTGAGCCCTATTGTTTGAATTTGATTGACACTCCTGGGCATGTCGATTTTTCTTATGAGGTTTCTAGATCGCTTGCTGCTTGTGAAGGCGCTCTGCTTGTCGTCGATGCTTCGCAGGGTGTCGAAGCGCAGACTTTGGCGAATGTGTACCTGGCATTGGAGAACAACTTGGAGATTATCCCTGTATTGAATAAAATTGACCTCCCGGGGGCTGACCCGGATAGTGTGATCAAGGAGATTGAGGAGGTTATTGGGTTGGATTGCAGCAATGCCATACTCTGTTCTGCCAAGGAGGGAATTGGGATCACTGAGATTCTCGATGCGATCGTCGAAAGAGTTCCTCCTCCGGCAGAGAATGCTGATAAGCCATTGCGGGCTCTGATTTTTGATAGTTATTATGACCCTTATAGGGGTGTTATTGTGTATTTTAGGGTGATTGATGGGAGGATTAAGAAGGGGGATAGGGTTTATTTCATGGCTAGTGGCAAGGATTATTTTGCTGATGAGATTGGGGTTTTGTCTCCAACTCAGCAGCAAGTTGAGGAACTTTATGCCGGCGAGGTGGGTTATCTTTCGGCTTCTATAAGATCAGTGGCTGATGCTAGGGTTGGGGATACAATCACTCATTATAGTCGAAAGGCGGAAAGTTCATTGCCCGGTTATGAGGAAGCTACCCCAATGGTGTTCTGTGGCATGTTTCCTGTGGATGCAGACCAGTTTCCTGAGCTGAGGGATGCACTTGAGAAACTGCAGCTTAATGATGCTGCTCTGAAGTTTGAGCCGGAGACTTCTAGCGCTATGGGTTTTGGGTTTAGGTGTGGATTCTTGGGGCTCCTCCACATGGAAATTGTTCAGGAGAGGCTGGAGAGGGAGTACAATCTGAGTCTGATAACTACTGCCCCGAGCGTTGTGTATAAAGTGAATTGTGTAAGTGGTGAGGTTGTTGAATGCTCAAATCCATCTGCTCTTCCCGAGCCTGGAAAAAGGAAGTCGATTGAGGAGCCGCTTGTGAAAATTGAGATGCTTACACCGAAGGAGTACATCGGTCCTCTTATGGAGTTGGCACAGGACAGAAGAGCAGTGTTTAAAGAAATGAAGTTTATTGCTGAGAACAGAGCATCACTCACATATGAATTACCCTTGGCTGAGATGGTAGGCGACTTTTTCGACCAGCTCAAGTCCAGAAGCAAAGGTTATGCAAGCATGGAATACACTTTTATCGGATATAAAGAAAGCGATCTAATAAGACTCGATATTCAGATTAACGGCGAACCTGTAGAACCGTTGGCAACCATTGTACACAAGGACAAGGCATATGGTGTAGGGAGGGCTTTGACACAAAAGCTGAAGGAGCTCATACCAAGGCAGATGTTTAAAGTGCCCATTCAAGCATGCATAGGATCAAAAGTGATTGCTAGTGAAGCTTTATCAGCAATCCGAAAGGATGTTTTAGCAAAATGCTACGGTGGAGATATCACAAGGAAGAAGAAGCTGCTCAAAAAACAGGCTGAGGGAAAGAAACGAATGAAGGCAATCGGTAAAGTCGATGTGCCTCAAGAAGCCTTTATGGCCGTGTTGAAACTCGAAAAGGAGGTATTGTGATACAAGAAGCATTTAAGGCTTCTAACATTGTTGTGTAAATGATAACTGTTTTTGTAGAACGTATGAAAAACTTGTGCATTTTCCATCTTTATCTTCGCATACTTGGTTTCCGACAACATTTAGGGTTTTCAAAAAGAAAGAACGACAATCACAGATTCCAAATCAAATGTAAACTTATGTAATGACAGTAATCAATCTGATGTTTTGTGTTAAATGTTGGACTTCAACAATATGTTGCTTCCCAAGAAATGAGCATGCTTACAGTGTTGTCTTTAGATTTACAGATTTAGGAGCATCCAAATGTTCATAAAACGTAAGAGAAATAATGAAGCTCTTTGCACAGAAATCAAATTTAGCATAAAATAGAAACAATATTTTGCTCGGAATACAACTAGCCATTGTTCCGAAACATGGAAATATACAAGTGACCAGTTTTAAAACTACTACTCTCACACCGTAATCTGAATTCTTTCGACTCCTGATTCAAATATGAGGTTCCATATCTCCTGAATTGCCCCCAGCAAACTCTACAAAATTGCATACTCCCTACCCTGATCACGCCACCTATAGATACGAGAAAGAAACTATATATACATATGGAAACATGAGGCAACGAGTTCAAAGAAGTTTGTTCTGAGCAACAGCCTGGCATAACTCGTCCTCGTAGAACAGAACTCGATTTTTGCACAGGGGCTTTGGTATGGCAGATGGCACCATGCATCTTGAGGGGAAATTTGACTCCTGGAAGAGAACTGCAGCAACCTGCCTCATTTCAGAGACTTTGAGGCGGGATGGTGGTCGGGGACCATGCTTCGGTGCTTTTGGAGTATGGGGGCTCCGAATCCATACACCATTCCCATCTCCCTTGCTGCAAAAACCATGTAAAACTCAGAAGAAGAAACATATTGGACAGAAAAAACAGTGACAAAACATAGTTTAGAACACGTACTTTAGAAAAGGCCAGTGCTCTGCGGGATGGGGTGTCATTGTATTCAACATCTCCTGTCTAGAGCGATCTGGAGTTGTATAATTAAAGTAGAACTGCCTCGCAATTACAACCTGTATCCAATAGTATAAACATTTTATTGTGTTCATATGCATATATACATATAAGTAAGCATGTATATAAATATATGGACAGAGAGAGAGGGCCTTACAGCTTTTCTAACCCGCTGAGAAACGTGAAAAAGTGCCTTCAGTTGGTCATGGTGCAGGTGACACAATAACTTAACCTTGAATTGCAAAAAGAGGAATCAGTACAAAAAGTACATGGATATGGATATATCAAACTGAAAAAATCCAAACCTACGTCTGTGAGCGCACATAAGAAGCAAGCAGTCACACATCCTGATCTATAACATGGAGAGTAATCATGCAACGTCTTTTGTATATCTAAACAACATCATAACATGTATCAGACTTAATATCCAGTTTCAAGTCGAAACTTAAGCACTGCACAAATTTGGTCCAAAATACTCATCAAAAGGAGAAAAAAGTAGAATCTATCTCAAGAAGGGATTAAAGGCTACGACAACTAATAATTTAGAGTCATAGATCAAAGACCTAACAGCTCTACTAGACATTCCAAAGCAATTTTGCGTACCTAATCAATATCCAAAACAAAAACAAAAAAAATCAATTTCTTTCGGCAAAAATGTTAACACCAATATGAAAAGCAAGAAACAAAGCAGAAACATTACAGATCTCAATTCAACTAAAACACAAGTACGCTCGAACACATTAAAATTAAAAACCCCAACCTACTACAATATTGTCTACGTTCATGGATAGTTTTTCCTCAAACCAATACCCTGATCAAAAAGTGGCACAACAAGATGTTGGTAAACCCAAGTAAACACAAATAAATCACAAAACAACCACCCTCTCCTAGACTCTGACTGCCGAATGTTCAGAAGTTGTGGGATGTCACGCTTACAAAGAGAAGTGATTTATACCAACATACAAAACATTTCTACAAGCACAAATGATGCTATCATATTTAACACAAACAAAAACATAGTCAACATAAAAACTGAACACTGGAACAAAGCGTTAGTGATAGTAAACAATACCAGCAAATCCATGGGAAGGGACTCAAGCCGGGACTCTGACTTGCAGTCTTCAAAGCGAGGAGTCCTCGGAGTTTTCAACAAACTATTCTGCCGAGCCAAATTCACAAGGGATAACATCAATGGGCTCTTATCAATAGCCTTATCTTCGAGCACCATGTCACCCTCAACCTTCTTGCTCTCAAACACAGCCACCCTTTTCCTCCCCAGATCAGTACAAGACTTACCTGAAGACACCTTATTGTACTTAAGCTGGGCAAGAGCACCCGGCTTCAGATACTTACCGCTGGAACCCCGCCGCTTCTTCTGTTTTGGATTCTTCGAATTCCTCTCCTTTGGAGACACTTTCCCCATCTTCCCCTCTTCTTGTTTCACCCCCAAATTATTTTGACCCAAATGCCCAATTTTTACCCAATAAATAAATCTTCAATCTCTCAATTCAATCAGAAAAACCTAAGCAGCCACAAACTATCAAATCTGAAACATAAGAATTCAATCTTTAGCTTCCGAACCATGGCAGACATTAAAGCTGAAAAAAAAAACAGTAAAACAGAAAAAAATTGCTAAACAATTATCGAATTCTAACTAACTATACATTTTTACGGTTTGAAATCGCCTCCAGCCCTTTTCTAATTGCAATCCGGAAAAACCAAAATCACATACAGAAAACTCGTCAGAAACCCTAGATTATTCAAATTCGAACAGACCCATAGTCCCTAGCTCGTCCAATCCACCAAAAAAAAAAATCATAAAACAAGCAAAAAATTAAAGAAATTTCATACCTTCCATAAAAAATCAAACCGAAACCCAGAGCAGCGCGAGCATCGTGGCCACAGAATTTGGGAGAAAATCCAAAAGTAAAAAATAAATCATAGGTAGCAGAGCAAACGCAGAGGCGGGGGAGGGAGGGAGGGAGAGAGAGAGAGAGAGAGAGAGAGAGAGGGAAAATGGGGCCGCTAGGGTTTACTCGATTTGAAATTGATGCAAATGCCCGCGAAAGTTTCACAGCAGCAGTTTTTTTACAAAATAAAAGCCGTAGAAAGTGAATTGTGTAATAATCTATGTTACTATTACGTGGCTCTCTGTTATTGGTCGTGGTTAACTGCAGAGAGTTGTCGGACGGCGCAGATTGCGTGCTGGATACTAAGAATCCAGATCCTTGACGTGAGAATCTCATGATTCATAAATCATGTCTGTTCATCGTATATCGTACGATCAAAAATTATTGTAAATTATTTTATTTAAAATTAAACACAAATAATATCTGACAAAAACTGATCATATGATATACAATTAACGAACACGATTTACAAATTCTCTGGATCCTCACGAAGAAGATCCGAAGAGGATTCTGTTGGAGATACTAACACTTTGGCTTGTTTCCTAATAGGGTGGACTATTTTGTAAATTTGAAAATTATGTTTGGAGGGAAGTGAAAAAAATAATACAATATGTTGAATAAGGAAAATAAACTTATTCCAAAAAAATCATAATTTATAAATTAATATGCATCAATTTTCTTATTTGGATTCATAAACATATAAATTTAGAATTTTCATGTGGAGTAAAACTTAGAATTTAGGACCTCAAATTTCTAAGTTTAAGTTCTATCTAAGTTTGTTCAAATTCAAATACTATGAGTGTGAGTTTAAAAAATAAAAAATAAAAAACTCAACTAAGAGTTGTCATCGCCATCACCCACCTCATCATTTATCATCACAGTTGCAGTCACCACCATATGTAGTTGTGCCCACCGCCACCACCCATTTCGATCACCATCGCCATTACCACACATCATCGTTACTGCCATTGCTACTACCACTACTAGCACATTTCATACTATTACCACACATCATCGTTACCGCCATTGCTAGTACCAGTACTAGCACATTTCATACTATTATCTTTCATTTATATATTAATGTATCTACACATACATTAAATTTTGTATTTAAAATTCATTGTCCTTTTCGAGTTAACTAAACACAAAAATTCATATATTCTAAAAAATAGAATTCCGTCATTTTATTTTTGCTATTTTAAAATATCTTGGTGATTTTAAATTTTCTCGTTATTTTGAAATTTATTATTGAATTTAAGTTTTCTCATCTAAACACAATTGCACAGTTTAAAAGTTTGAGATGGAAAGCGAAATATTTTTTGTGTTGACTTATATGCCCTTGGAATTTTTTCTTGACGGAGGCCGTTATGGGAAACTTGGTTTGTGAGAACGTCGATGCTTTTGGTATTTAGATTGTTCCGAGAGCTGGAGAGTAGTGGAAAAATGTTGAGCTCTTACATAAAGGCGTTGGTTTGAACCACGTTAGTGATGTACTAATCGCACATCCAATCTTACAAAATTCATTGTTTGACAAAAATAAAAAATAAAAAAACTGGGGAGTGGGCCTGGATCAAATGCTGAAGGGGAAAGATTTTTTAATGTTCTGAAATACGGAGTGGAACGCCAATGTTAATATACAAGTATATAGAAGTTTTTTTTTTTTCAAGTATTCCTCTACTTGTATAATGTATATGACATATTTGTCAGTGTTCCAGACATATTGAAAAATCTTACTCTGAAAAGTACAAAATCGACCCTTAATGGTAGCACTAACCACGCGTGACTGCCGCTTCTATGTAGAGGGCATTGCAGTCAATGCACGTTCAAATTTTTCGTTGATTTAACCATGCTCAAAATCAGTTAGTTTTATTTTCAACGTCAAAATTAACTTGTTTGGGCTGGACCGGCTGGACCGGCCGAATTTAGCAATTTGAATTTCTGAAAAATGGGCCCAGGTATATAGCTCTGGGATAGCCTTATCAAAGGTGACCCAACGCACGATGATTTAGAACTTTCTGAATTGGGCTTCATTCCATATCCGGCCAGTTCTAGAATCCGGTCACGTGAGTCGGGAGCGGGAATGGGTCGTCTTGTGCCGGGGTTTGGGTAATTTCGGTTCGAGGTATTAATTATTAAACAGGTCATGAATCGCCATGCAAGTACGATCTATTTATA